TTCCATGTCTATACAAAAGCTTTTGGTATTAAGAAGAACTTTGAAAAACTTGAATTAGGTTGCTGGGATTTTTCTGACTGTTTTACCCATCATTTACTGCATATTCACTGAATATTTTTAAGATCACCTTGACAGCAAGAGAATTTTATCAAGACTTTCAAACTTAAAAGTGAAATAATAAGGAAGTTATTTGCATCTGTGAGCATTAACTGGGCTATATCTTGCTTCTCTGACCTGACTTTGGAAATTACCTGCAAATTTTCTGGGATGTGAAGTATCCAAATACATCACCTTGGCAAAGATAGTCATTCCTGAGTCACACAGAGCGCACATATTTCCAGCATGACACATGTGGACTCCTTCACAGGACTACAGGAGCTTCTTTTTGAACACAACTACTTTTCTTCTACAACAATAAGTCCTTTCCTTTGTTTAGTCTATTATGGTCTTTTATGTGGATTTACTAGAAGTTAATATGCTGAAATTCTCCATTCTCTTCCAATTCCTGTGCCATCAGCTCATGAGAAACACAAAATAACTCCTGGGTAGCTAAACTAACTCATTTCAGGCTAGTCTGGAAATCTTTTACTACTTTGAGTTCTATAAAATGAGTCAAAGTGACAAAATTCAACCAGGGGCAGACTTTGCCAAACATAAAAGTGCTGAAAAAAAAGAATTGAAATTGCATCTGAACATCTTTGGTACATCACCAGGCTCAAGTTTATCTACAGCACTTTTTGCACTTAAAATCATCTGCCAGCTTTCTGCAAACATGTTTTTGAGTATGCAATCCTGCCCTCTTTATTATACTTCAAACATACTACTGCCAGTCTATTAATAATTATGTTGATCCATACCAGGCTAAGGACTCGTCCTTGCAGAGCCAGCTGTGAAACTACTTATGACTTATCTTTCGCTATAACTCTTCAAAAAGTTATTCAGATCACCTTAGAGAAAGAAGTCTTAACTAAAACAGATTTTCCCATTTTGCATGGGAATGCCATGGAGGATCATGTTCAGTGCTCATCAAGGCCCACTTATATAAGTTACTGCTTCAGCATGCAAAGCTTTAAAGAGCATGTCTGTACATAAGCACCTGCTTGATCAGCTTTTGCACAAACTCAGTGATGTGGGATACAACGAAGACCATATAAACTTCGAAGAAACTGGCCTCGAGGGGGGATGACTGTAGGAAAGGTAAAAATAACTTTTGATCCTCATAGGAATATATATTTCATGAATGAATGTTTTAGAAGTCTAAATATAGTACCAATGCACACTAAAAGACATTTTATGAGACTCAAATTTCAGTTAGCAACATCTTGCAAATATTTACTGGCCTACCAAGTAGCTTAGATGTTCCAGAAAGGCGACACAGGTCTCTATAGTATACAATTAGCATTCAGAAAAAGGGATTTCTTTATTCACATGCTTCCACTGAACCTACAGATGTACACAATTTTCAGACTAGACAGCTGCTGGTAACTCTACACCCCACTTTTTCTGAATCATGAATTTTATGGAATCTTTCTGCTTTCTCCACAAAAAACATGCAAAGACAAGTAGATGACTTTCACCCTTCGTCAGGCCAAAAGTATAGTGTCATCTTTCTTTCCGCAGGTATGCCTTCAGCTTTTAAAGCACAAGGAAAGACTTTCTTAAAATGAAGAAGAAAAAAGTTCAAATTAAAAAAAATATTCACTAATTCTGCATTATAAGCCTGGAAGTTCTTGTTTTCTTTCATTTTCCTTCACATATACACTTACTATATTTGTACCTGCATAAAAACTTCCAGTTGAAGGCATCAGCAACTCCTGAACCAGAACCAAAAGGAGGACTGCTTTAAAATCTAACACACCAGGTGCCAATGTCCCAACAGAAAGATTTACCAAAGTGTAACTGGCACAAGACACACCAGTTTCTTTCACTGGGGACTGGTACAATGCCACCCACCATGTGTGACTCCCCAGCTGTCTGCTTTCATGGGGGGCTGCACACAACAACAGACTGGGGCAGCACTCAGACCCACCACTCCCAAAGAGAACTAGAACACTTCCCAGCTCTGCTTATCTGAACTTCCCCTGCCTAACCAATGTGCATTTAAAGCTGTTCTTCCAGATCTCTTATCCAAAGTCCTACAGTACATAAACCTTCTAGACAGTAAGGACAGAGAGAATAACGCCCAAGGAATGTGAAGTATCTGAAATTCCACTGAACATGTGAGAAGCAGACTGGATCAGGGAGAGGAACACATTGTGTCAAGTGGAAAAGCCCCCAAAAAGGTTGGGTGTGGAGAACTGGAATCACAAGAACCAAACCATACAACCAAACCCTGAAGGGGTTTTATTCCCACCAGGGAGGTAGAAATAAAAGCAAATGGAACTGTACAGAAGTGAGAATGTGATATAGTAATTAATGAGAAGAACAGCTCCTAAAAGAATTAGGAAAAAACAACAAAACACAATTTACTATGACAGTGAACAAAGAAAAGATGAAAAAATATATTTTTCAAGTGCTTCAAAACTGCTTAGTTTTTCTCTGTTTCAACACACTTTAAAAAGATTTCCACAATCTACTGCATCTGTAAGCAATTCCAGCTCTCTAACATGTGACATCCGTTTTAGTCATTGTTAGGGAAAATGGGATAGGCCATTTTCTTCACTACCCCAGAACTTTTCCATAGTATTCAGGAAAGGCACACACACTCTGTAAGGTCCTTTCAAGCACAAATGCACATTGTCTACTGGTAATGACAATGTGTTCATTGTCTTATTTATGAAAATAAGTCCTGAGAAACATAACATCTTTTTTATACAGCAGCAGTAACCTCATGTCCCTGTAAGATACAACAGATGCTGCGCCACACACTGAAATTATTCAGAGACCAAAGAATGGACAAAGCCAACTCTGTTATTGATAATGGTGTTTCCACTCTCAGTACAGCATACAGCACCACATCATCTTCAAGGCCTCCCTACCAAAATCCTTCTGTGTCAGAGAGGTAAGAAGTTCCAGAGATAGTGCCATGACCACAATGCAGATGGCAGAGCACACCATGTGTGATGTTGCCCACTGAGCATTGCTTGCTCTGTTGCTACATGGGACACACACAGCCTTACACAATTCTAAAAGAGAATTGGTGGCAGAGGAGTGGCTGCCACTGGGTGATACAAGCTCAAGTTGTACTCTGGATCATTACCTACAAAGCTTGAGGCGCTGATCTGAATTCTGCAGCATGAAGTCATAAAGTACTTTCAGACTGGAAAACCAAATGTAAAAGAAAGCCTTCAGTCCTTGCACTTGAGACTACTGTTCAGGCTGATGCTACCAGGATCACAGGTACATCCTATGGCTGGCTGCTACTGGCAAAAGCAATAGTAAGAAAGGCAAGGAAAATAAAAGCATGCTAGCTGCAAAGAGCATGATTTCAATCCTGATTTTTTTATCTATGTTGCAGAAAAGCTGCAGCAGAATACCCACCAATATAGATCAAATCTTGGCAGTTTAGGTATATGAGTTCAATAAAATAGATTTAATCCAGGAAGCTTGCTTTCTATTTACAAGAGTTCTTTACTGAACAGCCTAAGAACACTGCACTTACAAAACCCTTGGGAATAGGACAGGGTGCTGGCTTCACTTAAGTGAACTGCAGGAGCACATTTCTAAAACACACAAGCCAAGGAAGGGTATGGTAAGCTGCCATTCCCTCAGACATTACAACAAAGTTTATTTATACAGAATCAAAGGAAACATCAGTGGAGAGCACAGCAATGAAAATGATGACTGAGCTTGACTTCTGACCGCTCTGGCTTTTCTGTCTCTGACCTTTCCACTTAACCAGACTTCAAACTCAGCCTATGGTCTTCATCCTGCAATATTCTGAGAGGACTAGGCATTCTGAGGTGCTGCTGGGATGTGCTGAACAGATTATATGATGAAATCCAGATTTAGGTAACATCTGTGATAGAAACATGTCCACATTGGTTAGTCATTAGCTGCTACAAAGGAGGAGCTGTTATTACTGATATCCCCTTTTTATGTCAACTGATGGTGTCCTGTTTCTCAAACCTATTAATTGTATGCTGTCATATGAGAAACTGTGTCTTTAAACATTTATTATGGTGCTGACACAACTAATCTCTACTTCCAAAATAGTGTGAATAACCTAATTACAACATAAAAAAAGAAATTATTGGACAACCCATGTTTAATATTAGAGGCCCACATTATGCATGTATGCAAAGCTGGAACACAAAGTAGCAAACACTACTTTAGCCAGCAGTGCTAAAGCAGTATGAGATCACAGTGAATGTGTAACTTCTACCATATCTGCAGGAACAGATATTTCCTATAAGTATTTTCCAATAAGGAAAAAATATGTCTGCCACATACTTTTTTTAAGCACATTGAAATACTACATATTAGAGAAACATTTAAAATCAACATTCATTTGATGGAAAGATAAAGGTATTAGGTATACGCAAACAACATGCAGTAAGAAAAACATATGAACAGGAGACAATAGTGCATCAGATGAACTACTTTGCAAACAGTCTTACCATACTGCTTCCATACATAATATGTGTGAAATAAATTGGAAATGTTCATTGGATATCTTTTTGCCCACACCAGGGCAATGACTTTCAGTGCACTCCACAAAAACTATGGGGCTAATGATCAGCACTTTAAACACTTTGGTTTGCATGTGAACACATACCATTCCTCAGCTCATCAAGCAGTTAACTCACCACTTCACTTATTTCATTAGGACTACACATGGAAATGAAAATTGAACAGGTCAAGAAAGAGGTTCAGAGTTCAGTATTCAGCTTTTGCTGGCTGAAGTTAATGCAGCTTGAAAAACATAAGGACAGAACATTTTAGGAAGCAATAATAGATTAAAAAAAAACATTTAGTTAACTAAACCATTACAATTTGTTTAATAAAATCAGATCACTGATTTATAGCTTGTTTCACTCTGAAATAAACAGTTCACTTACCATATATTCCATGTTGGAAGCAGGTGGGAATACTTTGCCTCTGACTTGATTATGATAATCAAGAATGGCAATCATATCATTCTGAGAAATGTAGCGCTTCCGCCTGGCTTTGGGAATTTTTGCAGAGTCCAGATGAGCTGCCAAAGCTGTCTTGATGTCAGTGAAATTATTGTCTGACAGGAACAGGTCAGTGGAGTTGGGTAACACTAATGCACTTGTTTCACAGAGAACAGAAAATAAAAGGGAACAACTGATTGCAGCAATTACTGTCATTTTGGGGCCAAAGGAGACAGGTCACAGAGGTACTTGCTTTAAGTCAGGGCAGCAGAAAGCAAATCTGTAGAAGAGAAGATACTTAAGATGTGATTCTGTACATCTGTGTAGCAAGACAAAGTGAACAAGCAGGCTGAGACCAGAAAAATCATTCTGTCAGCTCAATCATAAAAACAAACCGGGCAGAACACGTGTTGCTGAGCAATTTTCAATAACTGTATTAAGTGATGATGGTCTTACTACGACACACCAAATGAAGTATCATTATGAAGTACATGGTCAGAACTAGTAGTATTCCTGAAATAGTGACAGTGCTATCACACCCATAAATATATAATAGTGACAGTGCTATCAGTCCATAAACCACACTATAGATCTTAAAGAGGGAGACTGCAAGAAACCTCACATCATGTTTTCCACTGAAATTAAAAATACATCCTCAGCTATGCCTGCCCCATCGGCATGGACTGTTTTGACACAATGTGGCAGAGATAAACCAGTAGGCAAAAGAAAACATATACAGCATGAAAGCAGGACATCTTAGAAATAGCATTCAAATCTTAAATTCACCAAGTGTGATGAACATTGACAAAACTGCATGCAAAGCAAACTTATGGAACTGAATGGCTTACCTCTGGATAATACCAAGAAAAAAAGAACAGAGTCTACTGTTCTCCCAGTATATATAGCACTCTCCTATGTGATGATATGAACCTTTGTGAAGAAGTGTCTCTTATTACAACCCCCCAAAGAACAAAACCGTGCTGCTTGTGAAGCTTCTGGCCAGAGTTGCTGCTGACAGCCTTTATATGTTACAGCCCGTGCGAGCCAGCCCGGGCAGTGTCCCGGCGGGTCCCGCTCAGCCCAGGCGGGCGGGAGGGGCTGCGGGAGCACACGGCAGCCATTGGGTGGCACCCCGGGGGTGGGTGCTGGGGGGACTCGGTCACACCCCCGGCTGATGCGGCACAAAGAGGCAGCGTGCAAGACCCTCTACTCGGCATTTCCTACCTCTTCTTTATCCCCCCCCGTCGCTGGTTTTTTTTCCTCATTTCCCGAGCATCATGCTGGCTCGGGAAGCGCTGTTTCACGCAGCTCCACGAGCCCCCACGGCGCAGCGTGGAGCGCAGGGTTTGCAAACCTGAGTTGGTTGTCCCGGTCACAGGAAGCGGAACCCGTGCACCGCCGTGCCCCCGGCCCGGGCCGGCCCGACCCGTGCCAGCAGCGCGGTGTCCCGGGCCCCGCCGGGCAGCGGGCGAGCGGCAGCCCAGGCGAGCGGCCCCGCTCCATCCATCGCCGGCGCGGCAGCTGCCCGAGGGCTGGTCCCGCTCCGCTCGCCCCCTTCTCCTCCTCCCGCGCCCTCTGCCCTCCGAGGCACCGGCAGAGCTCCGGGCGGTCGTGGCTGTCCCAGAGCAGTTACCTGAACGTCTGCCAGTGGGAAGCTACGGGAGCGGCAGGACCGAAAGCTCCCGCCACTGCCAGGGAGACATCTGTTTCCCATTAGCTAGCCTATAGCTGGAATTCTTTAAGCGCAGAATGGTCCAGCCACTCACACAGCAGAGCGAAGGGCATAACACTGAGGCCATGACGAAAGCGAGCAGAGAAGCAGCAGCAGCCAGCAATTGTGTACTGGGGGCAGCTTATGGGAGCTACTCAATGTCAGGCTGACCCCCCACCAGGACTGGGCGACCTGGGTCAGCCCGTGAAATGAGGCCCTTAAAAGTGCCACTAAACTGAACTGCTTTGTGACATCATAAAGGAGCTAGGAGAGAGAAACACAACGGGTTTGATATTACACCAACACTTAGGAGTGCTCAAAAGTTTCGGTAGCTCTGTTAGAGAAGCAATATGGGATTTAAGTATTAAGGAAGTGCAGTCCAGTAGTTGGAGCACAGGGCTGGAAGCCAACACTCACGCTCTCCTTTTGGCTCTGCTGCTCACTTGCTGTGTGGCCTAACCCAAACCATTTAATCTCTGTGTGCAATCTCTACAACAGTATAATAGTCTTCTACAGACATGTAAGGATCAAATGACTAGTGCTTGATAGTGTACTTTGTGATGAAAGGTGTTAAGTGGAAAGTATCATAATTAGTTACATTACTGTATGTATGCCCAGCCTGTACAAAACTGCTGCTTAAACTGCAAGTATTCCTTTGCATGATTGTACAAGAAACTTGAAGACATAATTTGTCCTTGCAAGACTAGATGTTGGATGATTAGTTTAATTCAATTTTCTTTCTTCTGAAATGAAGTTCATATTTGTTCGTGTTAAAGTCAGGAATTGTCTTCCCATTGTTTGAATACAATAAGAATTCTCAGCTCCTTTGAATTGCCGCAGGTCCTTTGATTTCATCTGAGCTTCAATAAGTTATCAGAGGGAAGACACCAGCTTAACATGTCAGGAAGTTCAGGGTGTAGATTTTACTAGTTAGTCACATTTTAGAGTGGTATAATTATTTCCTCATACCTAATGGCAGTACTTGAAGGCTCTTAGGATACAGGGCACTAATCAGAACAGCAAGGATATACAAGCAAATGTGAAATAGCCACAGCTTTCACATCTGTAAAACTGAGCTGTACTTCCCTACAAACAGACCAGCTTATGAGGAAATTCTTTTATCTCTCTTACCATCTAATTAATTGTTTCCATGTCAACAAGCAGTCAGTGCAACCAGTCACCTAAATGTTTTTAAAAAAAATTATTATGAGCAATGCTGATAAGCATTATTGCAAAAAGTTATTGTCAATGTGAAAGGCCTTAAAGCATGAGAGTATCTCAACCCAAGTTTGTTGTACTGGTCAGTTGTCAAGAAGGAATTGCAAATAGTGAAAGCATGAGAGCAACTCTCAGGCTTGACAAGTAAGATAGCAAAGACAATCACACACACATGTGCATTCAGTTTTCTTCTGGAAGAGTCAATCACCAGATACGCAATGAAATTTAGCAACCAAGACCAATGAAGCCACACTAAAATTCTCATGATGGTCTATGCCAAGGAGTGGAATGTCTAAAATGAAGAGGAATGAAGAAAAAACACATCAAAGACATCTGAAAGGAGAAAAATAAGAATTGGATGGACCTCTCTGCAACATACACAAAAGGAAAAATTTCCTGAGTCTTTAGACATCTCCAAAAAGACAAAGCAAACAATCAGACCTGTGATAAAATACCATTATGGGCCAGAGACAGAGCATTAGTGAGACCTTGAATGAATCAAAATATCTGTAAACCTAATTAAGAACAGAATGTGCCAGCTGAAATGGCCACAAAATGGTTACTGAGCAGTCTGGAAAAAAATAAAGGGCAATAATTCTTGTACTTAATGTCGGCAAATGTTACCAGTGAGAAAAGTTATATAATCAAGAATGAGAAAGAATGTTGAAGAAACTAAGAAAGAAAAATAACTCAGTTTATCTTCTGAAAGACTCAGTTATAGTAAATGGACTAGATTTCAAGGTTTCACTAGAAAATATTTACATTTTCACAGAGCAAGTGTTCATGCATAGGAAAAAAAGGAGAAATGTCAATATAGCGTATTGGCATAAGATCTAGATTTTGTCTGGGCCGTAAGCCTATGACATAGTCTTGAGTGTACAAAGACATGGGTTGGAAATAACAGGATACAAATTTATTAAATGTAGCATCTTTACCTTCACAGCACAATAAAAGTGATGACTCACAATAGTCAGAAGAAGAAGAACCATATAGTTTTCCTTTCATTAAGACTATAAATCCTGAATTTCTGAGTAATGGGTGATTACCCATTGCTCAACAAAGTGGGATGAACTTCATCATGTTGAGTGACATTTATTTTAGTAAATGAATTAAGAATTTATAAAAGCTGAATTATTGTCATTTAAGAATAACACATTTACAGCAAAATAATTTTATGCTGATTGCTAATATTAGGCAGTTAAGCTTGAAATATTTATTGCAATGTATTTTACTTCTGAATAACTTGACAATACCTGTCTAGGATTTGAGAGTCTTTTGATATTATATCTGTAGTGGCAGACAATAATTCATAGAGTTGAAGTCTAAAATGCAGGGGTTTTTTTTCCTGTCCTTTATGTCCAAGCACGGTAAAGTTTAAAAAACTCACATATTCATATTTCTCAAATCATATCAGACACATAACCTGGAAGGTTGCTTGAACAACTATAAACATCATTGATTGTGCTGACTATATCTTAATTACACGGGAGGTTTAAGCACTCAGATTTTATATATATATATATATATATATATATATATATATATATATATAGACAGTACTTTTAGTGGCTTTATCTTCAACAGAATCTTATCCAGTATTTCAAACTGTACCAAAGATAAAAGCTTCAAACAAGGAAGATAGAATGAGTATGATATGGACAGTCATATTCTCAGCATTATACGTTTTTTCCAAATGAGGTAAAATAAAACTTTCACCAAACACAAACATTATTTTCCTTAATATACTGTGTATCCAATGGCACAGGATTGGGTGGCAACAATAACACAACTGCATATGGAAGACTCATGAAAATATTTCACAGAAATGTTAGGGTTGGAAGGGACCTCTGGAGATCATCTAGTCCATCCCCCCTGACAAGGCAGGGTCACCTAGAGCAGGTGGCACAGGACCAGTCCAGATGGGCTTCAAATATCTCCAGAAAGGGACACTCCATGACCTCCCCAGGCAGCCTATTCCAGTGCCCTGCCACAGTCAGTGTAATGAAATTCTTCCTCATGCCGAGGTGGAACTTCTTGTGTTTTACTTCATGGCCGTTACTCCTTTTGTCACTGGACACCACTGAAAAGAGTCTGACACTACCCTGAGAGGGTCAGAGTCTGACCTTCTTGACACTCACTTTTGTCATATTTATATGCATTAATGGGGTCCCCTCTCAGTCTCCTTTTCTGGACTAAACAGGCCCAGCTTTCACAGTCTCTCCTCATAAGAAAGATGCTCCCAGTTTGCTCAGGTTTGTCTGTTGTTACTGGAAGTATATCAATAGCCTAGAAAAGAATTAGTAGAAAATGAGGAACAATTATTTATAATGAGAGGAAATGCTAATTACATGTTATCAAGAACTCTGCTCCGCCAAGAAATTCCTGCCGAGTAGAGTGGATGCTAAAGAGCTGTTGCCAGTCATAATATAACATTTCTTAGAAATGAGGTAACTAGCACATTTCTTGGCACTGATAAAATTAGTGTTCTTCTTACTGACACATCAGCAGAAACCACTGGTCACAGAGAAAGGAAGCAAAGGGTTAAGAATTTACTAGGCTAAGTGTACCTGTCATTTCAAGCATATAGTTTCCAGAGTTTCCTTTGGTTATTGTATCACATTTCACTACTCTGGGCATCACTTAAGAATCTCACCATAACCAGCATAATGCAAACAGATGAATGCATCAGTACTTAATTTTTTAGGATAGATAAATTATAAAACAAAATCTCGCTAAGCATCAGAGTAGTGTCTTCAGAACTTGTCTTGTGTGATCATCATAATCAAATGTAAGCTTTTTTTTTTTTGTTCTCTCATTGCTCTTTGATGATGTAGTGTCTTTATATGGTGTTTTAAGCATCTCTATAATTGAAAATGGAGTTGAAAAATCCACTTTATACCAATACCAAAAAAAGCAACATTTCTCACTCCAAGTGCAGAAGTTCATGTTTCATTTCTCCTGGACTGAAGCATCCTCTTTAGAACTTGGAAAAGTACTGAAATGAAAAAGAGAATAATATTTTAGTGGGTGTTCAACATTTGTCATCTGCCAATCAGGTTCTTACTCTAGCATTATGTCACTTTCAACTCTTCTAATTTTTTCTAT